ATTAGGTAGTAAATTAGAACTAAGTATTTTAGTTGCATATTAAAAAGGGTCACTGAGCCCATATTTGTAAAACCCAATTTATTAGAACTTGCTCAAGGTGTTTTTATCTCAAATTCCTTGTGTACTTGTGTCTTCCCCCCCGCTTCCCCCTTCATCTTCTCCCTGAACAATAAAAGTATCGGTAAAAGCATGACTGGCTGTTTTCTCTGTGAGTGCCTGAGGGGAGAGAGGACAAATCCTTTTTCGCTCCTAGCAAAGCTTGGCTGTTTATTGCCAAACTCAGTCATACCTGAGATTACCCTGGGAGGTTTTGGGCTAAATGAATCACCCAGAAACTTTACCAGTGGGCAAAGCGTCCGCAAGGCTTGCAGGTTCTATGTTCCCTGTACAGCTATCCCTAACAGATAGCAGTGCCCAGGTGATGGCAGCGATACCCCAGGCTTGTGGGTGTTCTCCAAAAAGGGGGACAGCCATATGTAGACTCCCCAGGGGAGACTCCTGAAATGTGGTTTTGGGCCTGGCACAGTGATGTGGGTGGCTCTGCATAGTAGTGCCTCTACTGGGCTGCCACAGACCACAACATGTGGTGATCTTTTCTGTAATAAAAGGACATCTGTCTCAACACAGATTACTACTACAAGTTTACTACTTTTTTGTGAATGTTATGCTTGATTACACTTATATGGTTACAAAACAGAAAATATAAGGGGACCTTAAGTAACATGTATATGTAGGCAAGATTTTCTTATGCAGAGCAGATAGTACTTCTGGGGAGCGTGTCAAAAGTAGCAGCAGAAGCAAGTCCCATTGGTAACTGAAGTAGACACTGTACCTACTTCAAAGAAAGAAACACTGCCACTCCCAGTGTTGGACCTCTAAGTCTTAGGAATGATCTCCAAAGCTTCCATTAGGCTAAAAAGGTTATTACACATACTGAACAGATGCAAAGAGCAGCTTATGTCCTGAACTTTGTTATAAACCTGGCAACATTCGCTCAAGAGTAGATGTAGTAATAGATTAAGTGCTGCAGGTGGGGTAGAAAATTAAAAATGTTTATCTTAAAAAAAAGTAGATTATGAGGAAACATTAATACATAATGAAGAATAAAATTAACCTTCCATTGTTGATGATTGTGGTATCAGATCCTGAGCAAATATCTTCCACAATGTATGAGTTTTCTGAGCAAGATACATTTAGGGATGTGTAGTTAGGCTTGCATACGGTCAGGAAATATGGTGCCTGATACCCTGTTGATAGCTGTATGATGTCAGTAATGAGAGCAGTAGAACAAAGGCCAAACACATGAACACCTGGAAGATAAAGCAAAATAACTTCTTGAGCCTTGTTATGATGTTTAAAAATACATGAGCTCCTGGCCCTCTTAATAAACTTCAATTATGATTAACTGTAAAAAAACTGTATATCATACCCATATGCCGATAAAGAAATTGAGATAATTTACTCTGGAAAATATATTCCACATTGATGTTTTTCCCTTTCAGTGGACTGTCTTTAACTTTGATAACCTCATAGTCTATTATATTTCTTCATACATTTATACTACAAAGTAGCCACAAATAGATATTCTTATCCAGCTGAAAATTAATGGTAACTGAAGTGCCCAACCATATGAGCCTGAGGTGATCCCAGGGTGGATCACCTACTGCAGGTTGAAAATATTCAAGCCCTTGATCTTTTTACTGGGCTGGCCAACTGTGGTGCCAAATAATGCAAGTTGGGGTGGGTTTTTTGTTATATGGACACCTTTCCATTAATACCTGTTCTAAGAGCACTAGCTCATGTTGTATATATCAGCAAACACTAGTCATTGGGTAAAGACTTTTGGTCATTGTGGTTACTGGCTATCTTCCAACCAGTGATTTATCCCTAGAGTCACTGGGATCTTGTCACTCCTTGTCAGTTCTCTAGAAAACTAAAGTTGATTAAACTGCCCCTCTTGTTCAGCCTTTACCCATTAAAAATTGAGTCATTTTGTCCATTTTCCCTTTATCATTGGTCAGTAACATTAGGGGCCTTAGGATACCAAATGTGGCTCAGAATACACATTACTTATGTTGTTGTAGGGTTGGAGTATTGTTGCAGCCATGATAGTCCAAAAATGTACAAGAGGCAAGGGTTTTTTGTTACATCTTTTATTGGACCAACTGTATGGGAGAGCTGTTGGACAAGCCTTTGGACATCAAATACCCTTCCTCCAGCCTAACCCCTTATACAGCTGGTCCAATAAAAGAGATCACAAAACCAACTCACCTCTTGCTATTTTACTAAGCAGTCTTTCCAAAACCCGGTTTGTATAGAGGTGGAATGGGGCACTATTCTGTAGAGTACTGCAGTGCATCAGGCAGCTTAACTACCTTCCTTGGCTGTTGTTAAGTCCTTGCCATAGCCTCTGTTCCCCCAGGTCACAGATAGGAAGCATTTCTGGCTACTGTATCTATGTGTGGGTCCAACACCTCCCCTTTACAAACCCCAGCATTCTCCTGAACACCAGCCAATGTGAAGTTTTCCTCTCAGGCTCATAAACTGCTGCCCATGCATCTCTTCTGCCAATGTCATATTCTCTCACTCAAGGTTTCTGGAGCACCTGCCTCAGGCCCCTTACAGACAATGGGACTTCATTCAAAGCCTAACTTGACAGGTCAAATCCAGTCAAGGTCAGTAATACTTTTTAAAGAAAAGATCTTTTTTCCTTGTTTTCATGATATAATTTTAGCAGAAGGGAGGGGAGCTTTGCAGCTTTATAGACTAACTAAATCAGAAATGTATACGGTAAGATTTCATAAGCAGAGGGCTTGCTTTATCAGACAGCATTTGATGCAGAAAGCCCTTTGTGAAAGCTTATGCTATACGTCTCTGATTTAGTTAGTTTATAAAGGTACAAATCTACCCTGCCTCTGCCTGACTTTAGACTAACATGGCTAATTACCTCTCTGCTAATAAATTTAGCAGCCTCTATTTACTTTGCTTGGGGCCACATCTCAGACATGGAATGTCAAATCCATTGACATTTTTAACAAGTTGTTGCTGTTGTGTTGCTTATAAACACTACACTGACTGCTTTGATTTTTTTCCAAGGGAAAAGATAGCACATTTTAATGAAACGCCATACTGCTAACCATATGAATGGACTTTGATATCAGATTTTAGGGTGTTAAGGGAAAATAAACAAAAATTATCGACTTAGCAGCACTGATAATCATGCAGTAGATGAAAGAGAATCCTTGAAAGTAGAAGTGTTGCATTATTGAATGGACATGTTTAATTTGCAATCCCACTTGACAGCTGCTTTTTGCCCTTGGCATGAAACGATCTGCCCTCCACTGTTCTAGAGACCATTAAAAAAAATGAAATACTGCATGATTAAAATCATAAGTGTCTCATAGAAGTGCCTTTAGTTATTAAAACCTGAAACCCACCAACGAATCTGACAGCTCTTCTAAGGAAAGAGTTGAAGTTGCAGCCTCCTGCATTAATATTGGCCTCTGTTCCAATCCCATTTCTTCTTTTTGACAGGCAACAATAGAGAATTCCTTCTCCTACCATTATCTGCAATGACAAAGAAAAAGCTAAGGGTAAATGTAGCAGTTATGCAGCAGTTAGCAATTGAATTCAAAGGGAGGCAATAAAATCATAATAGGAAGAATATCATACACTGACTTGTACTTGCCTTCAGAGGATTTATATCAATATATAAACATTCACTAATACACTTTTCCCTGATTTGAGGAAAAACAAGAAGGGGCACTGAAATTGAACATAAGCAACAGAGGCTCAAAGAGAAAGAGATCATCTTTTTATTAGGTGTGTATAAAGTGCCTAATGCGATGCTTGAGACCTCTAGGTGTTACTGGGTGTGTCTACACATGCGCCCGACTGCACAGTTGTTATTATGTAATCATTTAGTACTTGCTAAAGCAAGTGCTAAATGACTGCATAATAACTACTGGTACTGTGCAGTCTCGGCACTGCACGGGTCATTTCTGACCCTACTGCACAGTAGCAATGAGCTACTGTGCAGTAGCGGCAGTGTCATGGTTTGTGCCTGCTGATGCTATGTCACTGTAGCGATGAGCTATATTGCTGTAGCTCATCACTGTGGCAATGTAGCATCTCCTGTAGACACACCCACTGTAATACAAAACTGAACAATTAGAGTATGTTGCATCATAAATGGTTAAAAGCCATATAATAACTTAGCAATTATGAGGTGGTTGTCATGCTCAGCCTTTGGCCTCATGCCTAGTAATTGTTAGCAGACTAAAATTACATGGCAACCTGCTTTTTTCTAACTGTGTAATTGGCTTGGTTTTAACCAGATTTACTGCAGCAACTGGGGTTTTGTCCTTATGGACATGTAAACCAACAGTGTGCAAGAGGCATTAAATTAGATGAAGTAAGCAGAAGATGGGGTATTACTGAATGGAAATCTTGGCTATGGCCCTAAATTCACAGTCTCAGATTTGTTTGATGTTTCTGCTACAATTATCAGCAGTGAAAGAGTTAAGTCTTTCCTGGGCAAGAAAGAGCACTGGGGTCAGGTGACCCCAGCCAGATGCCTATCCAGTCTCCTCTTAAAGACCTTTAAGGTAGGGGAGAGTACCACCTCCCTTGGAAGCCCATTCCAGATTCTGGTAACCCTCACTGTAAACCAGTTCTTCCCGATGTCTAATCTAAATCTGCTCTCTGTCAGTTTGCAGCCGTTGTTTCTAGTTACTCCAAGGGGTGCCCTGGTAAACAGAGTATCTCCTATTCCTTGCTGTCTCCCCTTGATGAATTTAGGCCACTAGATCCCCTCTCAGCCTTCTCTTGTAGACGTTGAAGAGATCCAGGTCCCTCAATCTCTCCCCATAGTGCCTTACCTGCAGGCCCCTAACCATCTGAGTAGACCTCCTCTGGACCCTCTCAAGGTTATCCACATCCGTCTTGAAGTGCAGTGCCCAAAACTGGATGGAGTACTCCAGCTGCGGCCTTACTAATGCCACATAGAGGAGAAGTATTACCTCCCTAGACCTGTTCATGATGCACCTGCTAATGCATGATAGAGTGCGGTTAGCTTTACTGATCACTTCATCACGGCGATGACTCATGTTCATCTTGGAGTCAACTATGACTCCAAGATCCCTTTCTGCTGCTGTGCTGTTCAGTAAGACATCTCCCAGTTTGTATCTGTGCTGGCAATTCTTTCTCCCTAGGTGGAGTACTTTGCACTTATCTTTGTTAAGCGTTATCCTAATCTGTTCTGTCCACTTTTCCAACCTATCCAAATCCGCCTGAATCCATTCCCTGCCCACTAGTGTGTTTACTTTGCCCCGTAATTTGGTTTTGTCCATGAATTTGGACAGAGTGCTCTCCAAGCCCTCATTCAGGTCACTGATGAAGATACTGAACAGCACTCGTCCAAGGACTGAAACTTGGGGGACCTCACTGCCTACATCTTTCCAGGTTGATACCCACCCGTCCACCACCACTCTCTGGGTGCATCCCTTAAGCCAATTTGACAACCATCTGACTTTGTAATCATCTATGTCACAGCCGTTTAGTTTATTTATGAGAATGGGATGAGACACTGTATCAAAGGCCTTTTTAAAATTACATCAACTTTGACTCCTGCATCTAAGCATTTTGCGACCTGGTCGTAAAAGGAAACAAGATTAGTCAGGCAGAATATACTTGCTATGAACCCATGTTGGTTGCCCTTCAGCATTATTTTTCTTGCTGGACTTCCACAAATATAATCCTTAATAATTTTTCAAAGGTTTTCCCAAGGATATAGATGAGAGTAACTGGCCTATAGTTACCTGGATCCTCCTTCCTTCCCTTCTTGAAAATAGGGACCACATTGGCCCTTTTCCAGTCCTCTGGGACCTGTCCTGAATGCCACAAGTGCTCAAATAGTCATGCCAGTGGTTCTGCTATGACACTGGCCAATTCCCTCAGCACCCTTGGATGAAGATCATCTGGGCCAGCTGCCTTAAATGCATCCAGCTCCTCCAAGTATCCCTTCACTAGGTCAGCACTAACTGTTGGTGAGTTGGTGTCCCTCCTGTGCCTGCCTATAGTCCAAAGAGTAATTCAGGTTCAAAGATGAATGAGGCCATTTGCAGATTTAAGAACAGATTTGGTTTGCCCTTCCCCAGATTCAGAAAAATGGTACTGATCAGGAACAATTCTAAACGCTTGCTATAACGTCTCTTTTTAGATGAAGCCTAAATTACGCAGAATTGGATGGAACACAGGGAAATTTTGATACAAGGCATTATCTCAGAAATACCTCTGTTCTGGGAGAAGAGAAATAAAAAGGGCCATTTTAGCTGCTTGACCATCAACCCTCCTCCTAGGAATGTACTTTCTTTTCCTTCAGCAAAATAAATCCATTGAAAGATACAGACAGTTTAATTAGCTAAGAATTCCTGTTACAAGGAAGCTACGACACTATTGCCTGTTTCCATATAGACATCATGGTTCTGAGACTTTGTTCAAGGGAAACCAGGGAGACTAAACTAAAAATTTCCAAAATCTTAAATTGCTTTTTGGTAGGCACCATAGGTGGGTTGGCATGAGGAGCAAGCCTGGAGAGATAGACCACCTTGTGTGATAGCAGAGCAAACAGGGAAACAAAATGAACTGCAGAGGTGGTAAATCCAGTGTATAATGCAAAAAGAATAAGGCCTTTGCTCTTTTTGTTTACTAGTGTCGAACAAACTTTCAAGTGAGTAAACACTTCATTAGCAAAACTATGTGATCTAACATTTGGTTAACCTCTGTGATAAAAAAAAATTGTTGTTTTCAGGTAGCATGCTTGTCACTGGCTAATGAAGTTTCTAACACGCTGATATGGCTAAATGAACAGGCTACATGACATCTGAATAATTAATACTGCTTCAGTTGGGAAAAATTTGGAGAAGGTTTTGGGTACAAGGCACATTTCTTCAAGTCTGAGCTCAGACTGACCATGGAGTCTGTCCAATAAAACATAACACACACAAAAATCCTTGCCTCTTGCATATTTCCTTGACCATCACAGCTATAATATCACTCTAGCACTACCATAATAATGCTTGTATTTTCCTTAGAAAAGAAAAACATTATTAAGGGTTTGATTTAAAATGCATTGATATGAATAAGAGTCAGGCTATAAGTCAGACTAATGCTAGTAATGCAATACCATTCTGACAATTTAGTACTGCTGTGTTGAACTGTCATTGAGAGATACTGGAAGAGAAGCCTCTTGGTGTAAATTATATATATTTATCTTTACACCACAAGTAGTCTTTTTAGGAGGCACATCAAAACTGCAAAAATTTGAGTTAAAGAGCTACTGTTTAGTAGGGCTGTGCGATAGCTTTGGGTGGTGATTTGATTCAGAGGAGATTTGGCCTGATTCTGTGGCCGAATCTCTGAATCCAAATTGAATCAGAAGACCAATAAAAAGGTCCAAATCAATTTTAAAACTCTCTGAATCTTCAGAAAAGATTCAGAGCTTCGATGCAGTCGGATTCAGAGAGGCAGCTGCAGTTGGACTTGGAGCTGGTAAGTAGGAGTTGGGGAGGGAACCATGGGGGGGGGCCTGCCAGCCCCATCCCTTGCCTGCTCCCCCAGTCCCCCCTGCCCCCTGACCCGGCTCCCCATCCATGGCTGCCCACCCACCCCAGCTCCTGGTGCTTTAAAAAAAGCCCCGCTCACTGGGTGCTTCCAGGTGGGGGGGTGATCCCTGC